CTATATGGCGGTATATCCCAGGAATTACAATGAGAAAAATAGAGTGGAGTTAGGTAGAAAGAGTGAGAGAGACTGGGAGAGTGGGAGAGTGAAGCCCTGCGGAATAAGGGGCCCAGTAATCTGCGAGTTGCCCATCTCGCGGAGCCCGCTCTGAGCATTGATTTGTGACGGAACGGCCCGCCCGCGGTCGGGCCTGCATACTGCATGTAGCGGCGAGGTGTCAAGTTCTCCTCGTGCTTAACTAATTTAGCATTACGCCATGAAGGCGTATGGGGGAGTGGATGTATTGATCCACGTTTTCTTGACCTCGGTACTGGTTGGAGTTGAATGCTCAGCTTCACGCCCCGGCCACTTTACCCTCGGTACCCAATGTATAGGAGGCTGCGTGGACCCCAGAACCGGTCTGGACGACATGGAGAAGAAAAAGAATTCTTGACCCTACCGGGACTTGAATTCCTACCGCTCTATCGTCCAGCCCGTAGCCAGTCACTGCCAGAGGTTTTTCTGTGATCCCCCCCCCCCTGTCCATCCACACAAATACCTGAACAGTGGATTGATTCGGTCACAGTCGCTTCCTTCCAGATTCTTTTCCATTCATCAGTCATTACATCGTTCGAGGCCCGGGGACTGCATGCTACGAACAGTGATTATTCTTTTCTTTGCAGTACACGGAGGGATTTCAGAGCCCACAGTGGATACCTGGGGATATTCTCCCAAATTAATGCGGCCGGGGCTTGATGCTGACCACTCACCTGCAACTAGCGCAGGGGTTATCAATGCGTGGAGTTAATACGAGTTACCTCCTCTCCCCCATACGTCACCATGGCTTAATGCTTCGTTGCTCAGAAATAACTGCTATATATTTCTTGTCATCATATCTCACTCTGTATAGGGATGGGTTCCGGACCAGAAGGCCCGCCTTCGATTCCCGTCAGGAGTAATAGACTTTTGTGTACGCCGTAGTTTTTGAGGCCGGCTCTGAGGTCCACCCAGCCTCCTATCCATTGGGTACTGGGGGTTCTTTCCTCTGGAGATAAAGCGGCTGGGGCGTGAAGCTGACCACTCACCTGCATCCCCTCATGGCGTAGTGCTTATGTGTATTGACCAGTCGTGGCTCCGGTCTGCAGAGATCTGACCTGTAGTAAGCAGACTTATACGTAACCATGTTTTCGCTTACTTGGATCTTGTGCGGCTGTAGCGGCAGCAGCAGCAGCCCAATTGACTGTTGCGAAACTACGTAACTGGCTCCTTCCGTTGCTAGGCCGCAAGCAGGTCGCCCCCTCCCCTTGACACTTAAACCGGCCTTGACTGTCGATCGTCAAGTTTTTCTCTTATGGGATATGACGTCAGCATGAAATCAAATCACCGTCATTTAACGGTGCAGCGATATTGAAGTTCTCACGGATGAGACTGTGACGATATGTAGCCGTGTAGTCTGCTAGAGGTTTACCGGTGTGCAGAGTGAACCAGGCTACTAACGAACTGAGTCCTTGCTCGCCTACTCAAGAAACTCCTAACATCTATGGAACCCGTAGGTTCACTACCGTCTCCACACATGCATTAGAAGTAAGGCAAGCGATATAGGCCGCGCCATAGCTCAAGCGGTTAGTCGCTGGCTTCCCGATCTCGGGTCTGGTCAAGTGGGATTTGTGGTGGACAAAGTGACCCTGGGGCAGGTTTTCTCAGGTTTCCCCTGCCAATCTTCATTTACCAATTGCTCCACAATCACCCTCACCTATCATCTGGGGCTGGTACAATAGGCCAGAAGTGGCCCCAGTACAAGGGACTGGGTGGTCCCCAAAGCCGGTCTGGACAACGTGAAGAAAGAAAATTCTTAACCCTACTGAGCCTCGATCTCCGACTCCTCGGGCATCCAGCCCGTAGCCAATCGCTATACCGGCTCCCGTCAAATGCTGTATAAATAGAATAAATTATAAATAATTCATACAGTGCGACGCTAAAATACAATGTTAATAATGTTATTCTGTCTGCATTCCGCGGAGAAGAGTGGATTTTTGCGATTAATGTAAGTTTCTTGAAGCCGGACTTGCTCGTAATCCGAGAGGAATGGTGCCGCTGAGTGGGAGAAGACAAAATTTGGTTTCTACTTCACCACAGGAGCGCCTGAAACTTGCTGTAACCACTGTACCGTGGCATCCAACAGAAATATAATAACCAACATGGCCGCTGCTTTCGGGTCCAGAAGTCAACTTGTAGGGAATCCCCTGAATTGGGTTCTAGTTTCTTTTGTTTGTTGCTGTGTCCTGCCGTCGACAAGTGGAAGGAGATACGGGCTCAGGTAACAGGAGCGGATGTGCGGGTTGCGTCACCACATGTTGCCACGTTACTGTCACGAAACGCATGAATGAATGTGCACCCCCCCACCCACACTGACCCTTATTTTGCTTTCCTCATTTTTATATGTTCCCATTAATCCAAGGGGATAGCTCAGTCGGTATAGCAGTAGGCCACGAGCTCTGCGACCGAGAAATCGCAGTTTGATTCCCGGTGAGGTCACTGTATTTTGTTGCTCTGCACACCGTGCAGACAGACTCGGGGCCCAATCCAGCCTCCTATTTAGTCGGTTCCTTAGCTCTTTCCCCGGGGTTAAACCGACCGGAGTGTGAAGCTGACCACTTACCTCCAACTAGTGCTAAGGTCAAGAATGCTGGAGCTATGCCTCTACTCCCCCATATGTCTTCAGGGCGTAGTGCTTAATTAATTAAGCCCAGAAACAACTTTACGGTCTAACTTTTTATCTAGTTTGGGCATTATTTGTGCCTGTCAGTCATTGTAGTTCGGTAAATGCACCAATCCGGTTCAAAATATGAGAAATGAAAAATCCTGTTCACGGTTGAGTACGTACTTTAAAAGGACACGTGACATTTAGGAGCAAGAGGACTTTCTGTGTTGAGGGCAGCTGGAGAGACTGAAACCGCGCAAGAGAATATCCAAAGTTTGCTTGAGCTGGATGAAGAAGACCCTGGATTTCAGCTTCTGAGAAAGGAAGAAATTTCTGCAGTGGTATTTTTATATCTGTTTTCATCGTCACTACATATATTATTAAATTTTCCATTTATTTGTATTCTAAGTTTGGTTTGTTCCATTAATCAATATTATCGCTTAATCCGGATCACCTCAACCCCCCAGTTAATCAGGATTAGCGAGGGTTTACTGTAATTTCTCCCCCCCCCTACTAATTCTTTCTGTCCCTACTGTGATAAGATTCGTATGCACATTTTAGGATGCGGTGACGGAGAAAGTGCGGAGAAAGCATGTGTGTGCATTGTGAACTGTTAGGCAAGCCCCGCGCCACCAGCTCTGACGGAGCCGCAAATAATCACCTGTCGTATCGATTGAAGCGTGGCTCCGAAATTAGCCTTATCTTTGTAAGCTGGCTGCATGCGTTGTTGGCTTTCAACAGATGACCCCATTAGGCTTTTGTATTGCGGGCAATCCTGTTCAGATCCAAGCCAGACTGAACTGCTAAGCCGTGAATTGTGTGAGGGCTTTTTGGTGGCATTCAGCTTATCAAAACTTTGTTTGTGTTCGTACATTTTAGTTGGTTTCATGCGTTCTTTGTATGAAAGGAACCAATCATAGTGGGTTATGACATAGTGTTTCGGAGGAACTACTTTCATCTGCAGGTTATAATGCTCGCTTTTCGGCCCTGAAGATGTTGCACTACGTTACCACCTATCTACCAAACTACATCAAACGTTCCAGAAGATATGTAAAACGTGAAGGTGAAGTTCTCGCAGTGCTTAATTCAGCATGAACTACTCCTTCCAGCCGCACTGTGTCCCTGGGGGCGACTCAGCCTCTAACAGAAATGAGTAAATGAGGGTAAAGGGCGGCCAGCGCGTAATGCTGGCAACCTCACCGCCACCTGTGAGCCGAGTGTCTATAAAATGTGGGAGCCTCGACGTTTCACAACCCTATGGACTTCAACGGCCTGTTACAGGGATAGCTTTACATTTTTTACCTGTGCCATGAAGACATGGGGCAGTGGAGTTATAGCTCCACCTTTCTTGACCTCGGAACTAGATTGAGGTGAGCAGTCACTTTGATGATCATGGGAACTCCCCCCGGTACGCATTGGCTAGGGGGCTGAGTGGGCCCCAAAGCCGGTCTGGATGGACTCTAAGGAGATGCCAAACATATCTTGCCCCTGCAAGCAATCGAATTTAAATTCCCTGGTTTCCCGGCCCCTAGCCTGACGGGATATGGGGTTTGAGGTTCCCGCAGCTGTGACTATGAAGTGTGATCGTTTGAGTTGAACTCCGTGCGGTTTCTTGACCCAGTCTTGGACCTTGAAGATGGAGGCGATGTGTTCTCCCGGAGCGTCTGGTTGTCTCCGAACTGGATGACCGTACTCTTCAAGGTGCCAGGGAGAATCAGTAGATAGGCCACAGTTGGATATAAAACGTAAAATTTGTGATATTCGAACCTGGGGGGGGGGGGGGNGGGGGAAACATACATTTCTCGATATATTCTCCACCAAATTTGATACACATATCCCGTCGCTTTGCCAGTGCTTCGAAACCCGCAGCACAGAAGTCTTTTGGCTGTTTTCTCAGCTGCTTCCGCATTAGTTGCGACTTTCGAACGTTCTTAAGAGAATTTCTCCACTAGTTGTGAAACACTTTATGCGACAAACACTTCCCACCGTAATCAGCAAACATTTCCATATGAATATCCTTTGCAGTGAGTCCTTTTGCCCACAGAGAAGCTCATAACAGAACACTGCTCTTCGGTATTTTACACCTTAAGCACGGTCGCCGTTTGGACTACTGAAACCAGCCTCTGAACATGTGCACGCGCGTCATCTACGTAGACTGTCATGAAGGATGACTGTGTTGCTACCTAGTGATACACATAGAATACCTGTTACGCCCATTACAGCTGTTTTACTTCAGTTTGTGAACTGTTTACTGGCTGTCGTTACCGTAGATGTTGCAACTGAACTAGGAAACTCATCTTCCTTCATTTTGTTCCAGGAGCCACAAAGGAGATAGGGACCGCACTGACGAGGATCTGCCTGCGTCACAAAGCTGTGGAGGCCAGGATGAAGACTTTCACAAGGTAAGGATTCGCCACGCCATGGCAGTCGCCCTTCACGCTTGGTATGCTCTCTCCGCTCCCTCATTTGTTGTGACGCTGTGTAGATGGTAGATAGGTACAGACGTCTCGGAGACACCTGCTGCCTTCATCACGGTTGTATTCGCCTAACGTAAGGCAAAGCCGATCTAGAAAAACCGAAGTGAACGGAGAAGTTCATGGAGGTAGGCCTAGGCCCACTGGGGCTGTAGTGCCAAGGAAAAAAAAAAGGTAAATCTATCCCTGTAACAGGCCGTGGAGGCCCATAGGGTTGTGAGACGTCGAGGCTCCCACATTTTCTAGAGAGTCGGCTCACAGATGGCGGTTAGATTATCAGCCTTACGCGCTGACCGCCCGTTAACCCCAGGAAGATTCCTGGTACTCATTTCTTTTAGAGGATGGGTCGAACCCAGGGCCGTAGTGACCTAATCGGGAATCGAATCCGCTACCTTCCGGCTTGTAGCATAGTGCCCCCCGTACATATTCACATATAGGCACGAATGGTCTTCGAACACACTGAAGGCGTTCATGTGAAGCTGGCAGCCGAACGTCTCGGCGTTGCGGTTCGTAGCGGGCAGATCCCGGGGATGGGCTCCTTTTGGGACAGATGCTGGGATAGTGCCTTTAAATAGGCCATGGCCGCTTACTTTCTCGGTGTTTCTCAACTTCTTTGAGTTCCCCCTTTGTTATAGTTTTTTTTAAGCCGGGGAGTTCACTTGGTATAGCGACTGGTTACGCACTGGGCGGCCGGGGTTCAATTCTGTTTGAGAGCAAAAGATTTCTTGTTCCTCCTAGCTTTCAGACCGGCTCCGGTGCCCTTCTAGCCTCATATACAGTGGGTACCGGGCGTAAAGCGGCCGGAGTGTGAAGCTGACCACTCATCTCCTAGTGCCGAGGTCAAGAATGCTGGAGCTGTACCTTCACTCCCTCCTATGTCTTCATGGCTTAATGCTTAATTAATTAAACAAGGGACAGTTTTACTTTACTTTACTCTACTTACCTATAATTTTGAGACAATTTATTTTCTACTGTTGCAACACATTTGTTTAAACGATTTAATCGTAACTGGTTGTTAGGAAGAAATCGTCATTAACACTTTGAAACCTGAAGAAGGAAACGACAGAAGAGAACATGGGGTGGCAGGAGTAGTAACAGACTGCATTATAGGGGAAATAGAACAGAGAACATTTCCTTCTGTGAAGGTTCCTAGTCAGTGCCCGTTCGTCCTTCTAGTAGATGTATGTTTGCGAGAGGGCAAATCTGTAGGAAGTGAAGAAGATAAAGAGTTAGGAAGTGGCATTTGTCGTGAGCAGAGGAAAGAAGTTAAGCACGGGTTCTACTGCGTATGATAAGAATTTTGATATAAACGTTGGAAGGGCTGCATTAAAGCGAAGTTTTAATTTAATATTGGGAGGGCTACACTGGGGCGAAATTCTGATGTTAATATTGGCGGGGGGGGGGGTTGGTAGCTGAACGTAAAGCATACAGTGCAACATGGAATTTGTTTACCAATTCAGCATTTGCTCTAGGACCGAGTAAGACCACGCGAAACCTTTATCAACCTTCCGGACGCAGGCTGACTTCAGCATTCCGGTATGAAACCTGAAGTTAGTGAAGCAATGTTATACAAACTCAGGTCGTACCTCATAGGAAACACATTACGTCACCACTACAGAGCCCAACCGGTTGCTGCTGTTTAGGGAAACAGTCGCTGTTTACTGTGAGAACCATACGGAACACACAGATGCACTGTGTATGGCAGAATGCAGAGTTTTAGTACGTTCAGTCCGTACCTCACAGGAAACATTACGTCACCGCTACAAAGCCCAACCGGTTAATGCTGTTTAGGGGAACAGTCGCTGTTTACTGTGAGAACCATACGGAACACACAGATACACTCTGTGGGCAGAATGCAGAGTTTTAGTGTGTTCAGTCCGTACCTCACAGGAAACATTACGTCTCCGCTACAGAGCCCAACCGGTTACTGCTGTTTAGGGAAACAGTCGCTGTTTATTGTGAGAACCATACGGAACACACAGATACACTGTGGGCAGAATGCAGGGTTTCGGTGTGTTAAGCAGCTGCATATAGTGACGACTGGAATTAAAATAGACAAGTAACCCAATGCGAAACAGACACGTTCGCGTTTTACGAAGGCCACGGCGTGTAATATCGCTTAGTTTCATTGGTCTGTGTTGTCCCGCGCGTCACTCCTCAGATCGCCACCAGGAGGAGCCTCTGCAAGCATTTGCCGCTTGTCTTATTGTCGAGGGGTCTGCTTGCAGTTCTGCATGCAAATTGGTCATTACCTGCTTTCACTGCACCCTCGGGAACATTCAGCTGTTCTCCCCTTCCTTTAGAGGGATGTCTTCCCCACTTTGCTCACCCTCCACCCTCTTTAAGTGCGTTTATCTGGCTGTTTCGATTGTGATGATTGGCTGCCCTGCTTTCAGCGCGTTTCATATTTTTTATATTTGGTCACGAAATATTTATTTTCAACACAGTAGATAATGGCAAATTTATCTCCGTGATTAATTAAGCGCTTTGACATGAAGACGTGTGAGGCAATGGAGGTGTAGCTCCACGGATTGCTCCCAGACCACTTTCCCTTCAGAGAAGGAGCCTCAATAGACGGGGGATCGGTCTTCACTTAACATGGAAAAACAAATACAGAAAAAGACATAATTCATGGTCCGAGTGAGATTCGAACCTATGTTCCCAGTGCCAGAGCGGTCGAAGACATTGCGCGACAAATATGACAGGGGATGTTCTCTTAACAAAAAGAGAAACCACCCACTTTTCAGGGCAAAACAGTGTCTCCGTCATTACCGTCCCGATGTTTGTCTCTGGTCGCCCCAAATTATTTCATTAACTTTAGCCGACGTGACGGCGTCAGATCCTGCAAGAGGTGGGACAGACGTCTGTTAGCACTGCTGTCGCAGGCAGGGCGCCGCAGGACCTGCGTGGACTGCAGAGCGTTCAGAAATGCCGCAGAAGATGAGCCCGTTACATCCGTTTGCTGGACGTAAACACGCACCTCTGGCAGCAGACACGCGCGCTCCACGTTTCCGACCAGAATGGCGTGGCTCAAGGCTTCTAAATTTGGATCTGAACCGTGCTGAAAGCTCTCGTAAAAGGCAAAGTGTTTCCGCCCGTAGGAAGCCCCGAAATAGTGTTGGAACATCTGTCATTAGCACACGGTTTCTCGTTGCTTGTTTGTAGGAATCTTTCTGTGATAAATAACGTTTGCTGTGCAATTAAGATCCATTTTAGTAGGAGCCTCCCTCCTACATCTAGGTCCTCCTAGTGGTCTCTTCTCTTCTGACTTTCTCACCAAAAACCCCGTGTGCATTCCTCTTTCTTTCGATGTGTGCTGCATGCCCTGCCCACCTCATCCTCCTTGACTTGATCATTCTAATTATACTGGAAGTTATGAAGCTCCTCGTTGTGCAGTTTTCTTCATCCTCCTGTCACTTCATCTGTCTCCGGTCCAAGTATTCTCCTCAACACCCTTAGCTTATGTTCCTCCCTTAATGTCAGAGACTAAGTTTCACGCCCATACAAAACCAAACTATCACTACGGATTGAATTTACGGCCGAATGGGTAGAGCTGTCCGGTCTAGAAAACCGAGATTAAGGGCCGTGGGGATCCGTTGCGCTGACCACGCGACACCCTCTATCCGTTGAAGTTGGCACTAACTTCGCCGACAAGCGGCGGTCGCTCGGTCGGTATAGTTCGCTTGCGGACTACAGGCCATGGAGTTTTGTTTTTGTTTGTGGGTAGAACTGTTCGTTTGTTTTCCACCAGTTAGTCTGACTGAGGTTTTCCTGTTTCTTTTAATTTCTCCAGGCAAATTCCAAAAGAGTTTCAGATTAGGCAACGACCACTTCCTTCCACATTCGACGCTGCGCAGTCTCAGCTGCTGTCAGCTTCCCGCTTATCAGAGTCAGAGTTACTTTACGACTGGCAGTTTTCCCGCAATTATTTCGTCTTGGCGTCAAGCCCCTCGAGACTCACGACCAGAGATTTTTTTCCGAACTGCTACTTCTCGTTAGCACGACCCGCACAGAAAACTTATCTTCCATTATTGCGTGTTCTTTCGTTGGCGAGGAGATATCGTATCCACAGAGCTGTTCCCTAGCAACGGCTGTTACTTGGAAATGGGTCTACATGTCACAATATGCTTCCATAACATCGTACACGTTTCTGCTATATCGCTGTTCGTTTCGTTACCCGATCTAACCCACTCTCCTTTTCTCTGAAATGCCTGACTTAGTTACTTCTTAGTACTAATAATTTGCAGCCAGTAACTTCTTCGCAGTATGTTNGCCCCCTCGCACCCCCCCCCCAGTCCTCATTTTCACCTACAGCGGCATAAATCAATACGAGTCCGTGACTTCAGGCGCTGCACACGTGTTCCATCTGTGCACACACCCCCCATCTGTCGCCTTTGATGAGCCTGAAATACTTGCCAACTCCAACTTTAACCAATGGACGGCCGGGGTTTGTTTCCGGGAAAAGGAAAGAGATTGTTCTCTTTTCCACAGCGTCCAAACCGGCTCTGGGGCCCACCCAACCTCTATCCAATGGGTACCAGGGGCAGTTTGCCTTACGGGAACGAGGCCGCAGACGTAAAGCTGGCAACCTATCTGCATCTAGTGTCGGGGTCAAGAGTGGTGGAGCTATACCTCCACTCCCCACACATCATGTTGTGCTGCTTAATTTACGTTTAGCGTCTTCGCCACGCGGCAAGGCACTGTCCATATTTCGTCATAGAGCTAGGCGCTTGCACTGCGTAGGTGTTCGGAGCCCGGTCAGCGCAGTCGGTGTAGTGCACAGACTGGATTAGACGACCATGGAATCAGGATTCAGTTACAGAAAGGGACATTATCTCCACAGCGCCGAAATTGGCTGTTCGATCCACCCAACCACCTGTTTGGTGGGTACCGGGGTACTTTCCACGGGAGTAAATCGGTCGGAGCGC